TTTTGAATTAGGTATGTAGAAATTACCTATGGTGATTCTTGAGTTATGTGATAAAAAGTGGGCATGTTATGTTTTTACATAATTTATGTCTTGTATGAGTGTTTGATAAAATGCCTTGAATGATTGAAGTTGTTATTTTGATGAAATTGAAATACATGTTTGGATGTTATGGTAAATTGAAATCATATGCTTATGATGTAATTTACAATTGAAAATGTAAATGTTGATATGTGCTTGAGATATAGTGGCACTGTGATGATTTATAGAGATATGCTTAGGATGTAATTATCCATGGTATGTGTTTAAATGTGATAGAAATAATTTATGTGACATTCATTATATATGAGTATGATATGGATATTGAAATTGTTCATTTGACATTCATTGTATATTGAGCATGATTTTGACATCACATTCATGGGCATTAGGTATGAGTAGGAGTGTGTGTGTGCATGATTTAATCAAACACCATACTCGGTGGGTGATGGGTGGGCTCGGAAAAAAGTTGGAACGAAGTTCCGATTGAGTCGTACGTTGCATGAAAAACCTGTGTCGGGTATAGCAAGCAGGGTTAGACTCTCCCTCGGGTGCAAGTCCCAGCTCCCTGGTTCATACACTCCCCTGTGATGAAATTTCAAAAAAGTATATTTTTTTTATAAAATAGTTATTCGATGTATAACATCCAACAATGATCTGATTTTATAATAAAAACATGATTTTTATTTCTAAAAGATCATTGGGCGTATATCATCAATAACGGAGTTTATACACATTGACATTACATTGTGTTAAATGAGCTAGAGTGGGCTCAAATTGAAGTGCATGAGTGAATCTCATCTCATTTCATAACATGGCATGACATAATTCCAACATTGAATTACATGTCTTTGTTTGGGATGATTGTTGCTTGTTAAATGTTGCATGTGAACATTTCATATGCACTTAGGTTGAAGAGTAGCCTCTGTAGAAGATACTCTATTGAGCGTGACTCACTCTTTATGGGAAAACATTTCAGGTGCGGGATACATACCAGTGGGCTCTCATTCGGGACTTTAAGAAGGAGGAAAAGTCGAGATGTGACTTTATTTTGAGATTTTGTAAAATTATTATGAAAACTTTATTTTGGCATTTAAATATAAAAGAATTGTAATCGAACTCATATGAACTGTTTTACTGTAAAAAAAATTGCATGTGGTTATATGAGTATGGATAAATGGATCCAGTGTGATCAATGCTTACTTATAAATGGACCCGGTGTGGTCAATATTTATTCATAAATAGATCCGGTGTGGTCAATGTAGTATAATTGCACAGATTGTGTTTTGGGTAGAGCTCCCCGTACAAAGGAGACTCTGTCAGGAATTTTGTTAAATTAAGAATCTCCGATTTTTAAGGCGCGACAAAATTTAAAGGACTTAAAACCATTTTTGCAACCAGTGTGCAGCTCACTCCAGGACAGCAACTACCTCTGTAAGATTTCAGCCTGCTGACCACCAAATATAACTCTTCTCCTCCTTGCAGTAGGCATCCTGGATTGATCCTGCTGCAACAGCAGTCTTCCCTCCAATGGCAGCATACCACTTATTGAAAAATCAGTAAAACATTCAGCTTTAACAGCAAACGAGGCCAGAAAGTTTGCTATTGCATTAGCCTCCCTGTACACATGCCTGATCTGGTACTGCAACTTCCCAAGCAATTCCCATATCTCTCCCAGTACTCCCTGTAGTCTCCAAGGAATTTCTGCTTTTCCCAACACCATCTGAACCAACACTTGTCAGACTCAATTAGAAACTGATAACTCTCCAAACCATAATGCATCAGCAACTTTATACCATCCACCAATGCAAAACACTTAGCTCTCATATTTGAACCAATCCCATAGATGGCAACAACAGCCAACACCACATGCCCCTTAGAGTTCCTTAAAACCACCCCACCTCCAGACAAGCCACAACTCCCTTTGGAAGCTCCATCCACATTCAACTTCATCATGCTCTCAGGTGGAGGTTCCCATTTAATCCACTTAACCTTGGTAACTACAGAGAAAGGAGACCTAATCTTGAGATCCTGCAGCATTTCCTTTCCCCAACTATCATCCGCTCTCTTAGGCTTTATCATAAAAGTCTGCCACCTCAATGCACTAACCACCTGTAAAAAAAGAGCATAAGCATTCAAACTCAATCCCTCAAACCTCCTCCTGCACCTCTCCTTCCATAATGCCCAATAAATCAGCATAGAGACTCCTCTGGTTAGCGCATGACTCAGAGAATGGGCTTTAAAACTTCTAATGACTCAGCATCATTATCATATTCAGGATCAAATTCATGTCTTTTGGGATTATAACCACTTAACTCTATCAAAGATGGTCCCTCATCCCTTGAGGATTTATGTTTATTACCCCCAAAACTCCTGCCTGATACATGTTCTGCCAGCAATACATAAATTAATTTTAAGCAAACAAATAACCAAATAAGTGTAATTCTTTCAACAAATAATTTCAATCTAAACAAGTGTAGAGAAAATGCACACCTTCCAGTTTTATAGAATCAGCTTGATCCTTGACTTGGACCATGTTAGATGCCTTCTTAACAGCAGTTGGCCCTGCAATATCCATGTTGTTAGAACTGTCTGCAAAGCTTCTATTTGCAAACAAAGAAAAGAATTGATGTAGCTATTGAATTAAGTCAGACATCAAATAAAGTACGTAGCTAATCAAGCATACAGTTTTCCTTACCAACTTATCCAATTTGTATTGCTTGTTTTTCAGAAGCATTCAATGATCGATATAGGAAAACAACTCATCCCCCGGTCCTCTGTGATTCACATCATGAATTAAAGAATTGGCCCAATAAATACCCTCTATAAAACCACCCTTTTTTCATTTAGGACTATCATCGAACAAGTTTCGGACATTACCGAGTCCACTAATTTAGCTTGGTTGCCCAGTAGATTTTCAAACAAAGTTAACTGTATAAGCTCAAAAAACTAATGCAACTGTATACGCACAACAATTACACATTGATCAAGACAACAGGAACATATAGGAATTCCACCAGAATGCCAAAAACATTGCCCAAATCCCATCATACCATATCATACTTTAACTAATAAAAGCTACTCACAGACGTGCAATTGTTGACAATGAGTAAGGAATAAATTGAGATTAGTGGTTAAAGTTGGTTCTCGTCGAGTCTAGGATGGTCATTATCGTCTATTTTGCCCTTGCTTCAAAAACCGATGGGAAGTAAGCAAAGAGCATGTAAGAGGGGATGAAAAAAGGGGTGGAATGACATGGGGCTCGGTAGAGAAGAGTTTGAGAGGTGAGCAGAGGAGTGGGGGCGAGAAGAGAGATTTGGGGAGGGAGGTGCAAGTCAACGAGACAGTGGGATTGGGAGGAGTCGTGGTTATGAATTTGGCTTCATTACTGAGTCATTGGGAATGAGAAATACCATGTTTGAATTGGTAATGGATAATCCCATTTTTTGCTGGATTAGTTATACATTTGGAATGAAAGGGAATGAGAATGAATTTTGATTATCACAAATCAAACAAAGGAATGCTAATTACCAAGTAATACTTATTCCATTCCCTTGGTCTAATACCACAAACCAAACACAGCTAGATGGGGTCTGGCTCGTCTGGTGTTAGCAGCATACAGCACACTGTGCTGTTAAATGAAACGGTAACGTTTCATTCATTTAAAGTGAAACAACGACGCTTTGTCCTTAAGTACTCTCCGCTTTCATCCGAGTCTCAACAATCTCTTCACCTGTCTCACTGACTGAGTTACTTCCAATTCCTGCAATCCCTTTCACTGTGCCCATCCACTTTTTTTCTTTCTCCCTACAAGGCTTTGCTCCAATTGTAATGTCCACCATCTTCATTCTTTGCAATAAACTCCTTCAAAACCTTTCCTCGTGACAATCATAAGACCTTGGACACCCATCATTTTGATTTTACCTAAAAATTTATAGTAAAATTTAAAAGAGAGAGAGAGAGAAAGAGACAAAATCATGGGTCTTGAGTGTATACAAGATTGTGCAAGGGAGTGCAGAGAAAAGACTTATCTTTTGGGTCTAAATTCGTCATTTATTGATATCAAACATACATATAAATTTGAACGGAGAGATAATTTTCACTGACTGTCAAACTACAAATAGTAAGATCACGAATTTGGATGCAACATGGGTTATCACCGAAATCTAATTCATTAGTGTCTGTTAGGCCCTTTCTCCATTTGCTTCAACACTTGAACTTCCCCATTATTGACCATGAAGCTTGATTTTATACCCTATTCCTTTTTTCTTCAATGGGACTCCAAACAAGAAGGAATTGAAACCCCATTTCTACACTGATATTGGTGATTGGTAGTTCAGACAATCAAGAAACCGAATGAAACGTAGTGAAGGTGGAGGAGGATGAGTTCTCTGGTAGTGACACAACAGAGTAAAAGACATAATGACAAGCAGACTCACTTGAGACTAGAGGAAATACCATTTTAGAGAGAGAAGCCTTCATGTTTTGGAGAGGGAACCTCCCCTCTGGACCGCACCTTAGAATCTCAATAAAGACTTTTAGCACTTGTTTTAGGGGATTTGTTTTCTTGTGCAAAACTAACTAAAACATCAGCGTTTTAATTAACAGCATACTGTGCTATTTTTTCCTCACAACAGAGGAGTTGCGCCCCAGCTAGATGTAATTCATACCTTAACTAAAATTAAATTTTTTATTATTTTATTTTTATTCATTTCGATTCTACTTTTAATTCAAAAATATAATTTATACAAATATTAAGTTACAAAAATATTAATTATTTTTAAATAAAATTATATATAAAAAAACTTGCGAGTAAACCCCCCAATATGCTTACGAGTTAGACTACAGGTAATTTATCCTTACAAGAAACACGGCCCGAGCTGACCGATCACTCACTTGAATAATGACTTGAGGCTATATTACTTAGGTCCGATCCGAAAAAAATTTAGCACGCCTAACTTGGCGCGCCCTATAGACACCCTTGTTGAAGGATTGAAATGATATTTTTCATGTGTGAAAGGGTCTGTATGATTTAGTAATTTGCCCTTAAAAAAAAATAGGTGGATTATTGATAGTAATTACTGTTCACGTAAAGGTGATTGCGGGGCACAGTGGCAGTTCATTTTCACGCGTTTCAGAGATGCAATTGAATTAGCGCGAGTAATCGATTCACAAAAATTTGAAGAAGGCTACGGAAATGTGTATAGCGGTGTTTCTATGGAAAGCTCACCCACTCTACCCATTTCTTATTTTGCTCAACCGAGACGAGTATCACAATCGGTCAGTGTGTATCTTTTTATGAATGAATGAATAATGTTGTTTTCCTTTCTTTTGATTTGGCGTTTCGGTTATGAGACTGTCCTTTTTTCGTTTTTGTTGGAAGGCCCACAAAATCTTTGGCATGGTGGGAGGGTGGTGAGATACTGGGTGGCAGAGATGAGCAGGCGGGTGGGACATGGTTGGCTTCTACCAGAGATGGAAGGCTGGCTTTCCTTACCAATGTTCGGCAACTCAAGTCTATCCCTAAAGCCAAGAGCAGAGGAGACTTGCCTGTTCGATTCTTAAAGGTATGAAATCACGGGCTCCACCTGTTTGTTTCATTTTCCAGGAGAAAGGTAGAGTCATAAGAATAATCATGATGGCTGCGGCTGCTGCTTGAGTAGTATTTATGAAAACTCAATTCTTGGATCTTATAATGATGGGCTCTTCCTACTTTAATGGACGATTATACATGGCTCTTCTTATTGCTTTAACATTCACTTTGCTTTTGGATATTTGAAACAACTATTATCTACTTTGGGCAAAGACAATTTACTTACCTAGTGTCGTAGGCACTTCCGTTTACTAGGAATAATGTTTACTGCGATTTAAGACCATCCATTTCTCTTGGAAGGCAATTGTGATTGTTGTAATTCCATTGGTGTAGAGCAAGAAAAGTCCAATGGAGTTTGCTGAGGAAATCATTATCGAGGCAGATCAATACAATGGATTTAACCTGATAATAGCTGATCTCTGTTCCATGACCATGGTTTATATCACCAACAAAATAAAAGATGATACCAACTTTGTGACTGATGTTTCACCTGGCATTCATGTGTTATCCAACGCAAGCCTAGACTCTCCTTGGCCAAAGGTAAGAAAGTAAATGATACACCTTGATCATTGCGTTTTCTCACTTGTGAATTCTGAATGAGAAGCCATATTACATCTTTTTATTTTGTTTACTAACTAGGAATTTCTCTTCTGTGAGTACGATATATACTTGATTTCTCTGTATCTATTGTTGTTTGCCACAAAATTTATTGTCTGTCTAAGTGGCATGAATTTTGTCGGTACATCCATTTCCACTATTTGTATGGTGTAGCTCGGAAGCAAGACTAAAGGGATCTATACTGATAATGGATAGTAGTGCACCCAGACACTAACCAAATAAGAAACTTCCTCTATGTTCGAGAGTGCTTAATTCTTTTGTTGATATTCATTTACTTGTTATAGCACGCTGATAATTGTTGAAGTACATCAGCACTTAAGCCACATTTGCTCTAGCAGTTTATGCTTTAGATAAGTTGATGGTTTAAGATGGTATTAGAATAGGAGCACCTGCTTTGTATCATGCCACCACTCTAATAATCCAAAACTTCCACATACTTGGTCCCAAATGTAACCTGCATGCATGGGCGCATGTTGAAGTGTATAAATACTTAAGTTACTCACCCTCTAACAACTTAAGAATTCAAATGAGTTGGTGGCTGAACTAGGTCTAGTAATACAGCGCGACAAAACAATCCCAAAATACTCTCTTCCTTGAAATTCCTGCCCAGTTTCTCCTACAATTTTTCAACTTAACACTTAAAAATTAAAGCCATAAAAGACCCTTTATCCACTGCCTAAGAACAAGTTGGGTGTAGAACTCTAGGCAAGTGTAGGCAAGTGGCTACCAATTTAACTTGTGTGGCATGAATATGGCAATTTGTAGCTCTGATGTTTATTTAAATTGACGAAATCAAAGAAATAGGGGATTTAACAAGGGTCTGTCAGGAATGAATGATGTGATTGATGAGTAAACTAACAAGAAATTTCGCTGCACCTGTGTACTTCATAGAACGCCCTCATACTTGAGATATATTTGAAGAGAAGGGATGAAAGAAAGTACGTTAGTTTGTATAATACAAAGGAAGTGGTGGAACACAAAGCTCTAAGTGAACAATTTGCTCAAATAAAGTGGCACAAAACTGTAATCACCCCTATCTAGGGAGTGAAACACTTCTAGATGTGGGGATTGGATGATTAAGCCTTATTTTATAATCCTTTCTTTGAACAGATATCATTCGGAAAGCATTTAGTATAAAGCGTTCTTTGATTTCTATCAATTAAAGATGTTAAGATTGAACAGACATCCCCTTGACAGACAAACTAGCATGCTAAGCGTAAGGGTCCATTTGGTTAGCAACAAAAGAATGATGTAAAGTGAAAGTGAGAGAAAGTGAAGTGAAAGAAAAATAAATGATAGAAAATATATTTTTTTTCATGTATTTGGGTAGCATGAAAAATTTTACAAGAAAGTTTTTAAAAAAATTCATTTTGTTGTATGAAAGAAAGGAAAGTTACAAGAAAATTTTTCTAGTTGTCTAAATTATCTATAACTCGGTCTAAAGAAGAAAAAATATGTTTTATAATATTCTCTTGTTCTTTTCCCATTATTTTTAAGATAAATTGTCTCTCAAATCATTTCCTTTCCAGGCGACACGGTTGAAGGATAGTTTTGAGGATTTACTGAATAAATATGGTGAAGGTGAAGCCCCCATAAAAGAGATGACTGGAGAACTGATGAGGAACATGATTAAAGATGAGGAAAGTATGCTGCCTGCCATTTATCCTCCAGAGTGGGAGTACCACCTAAGTTCCATTTTTGTTGAAGCAGAAACTCCTCTGGTAAATCACAGTGCCCCTCTATTTCTATTACTCTGTTTTTTGTCTATTGATACATGTTTGCTTGTGCATGCTTGTGTTTATTCTTGTTGAAACATCCCGAATTTTTCTGATGGATAGGGGCGTTATGGTACAAGAAGCACCTCTGCACTGTCAATGAAGGCAAATGGAGAGGTATGCTTTTATGAAACACATCTGGAGAATGAATCATGGGAAGAGCAGACTGTGACCTACCAGATTGCGATAGCAGAGTAGACATTTTACTTGTTTGTTCAGGTACGTTCCCAAATGATGTGGCTGGTAGTCTTTCCTCTACCAGTTTCGCTGAATAATCCTGTTAAGTGGATGCCATCCCTGGCTTCCTTGCATTCCACAATGTCTGGTAATTTGTTACGACTAAGACGTGTTTTGCCTCAACTTGTGTTTTTAAATAAGGAATCGGTGATGTTAAATAATCTGGCACCATATTGTTTGATGTGCATATTCTGCTTAATTTCCGAGGTTTTTGTTTTTTTCTTTTGCCAAACTGCGAAACAATAGTTCAAGATGACAAGACACTAGGTATATTCTGCTTCAGTTCCGGACGTAGGATTTTATCATTTTAATCAAATACTTGGCCTCATCCTCGGCACTTCTTTCTTGCCACCCACAACTGAAAAAGATACTAAAAGTTCTTCGACTGATTAAGGCTTCCCCTACGTGCTCAGTCAGGACTACAATACTCTATGGTACAATAGTCATTACCCTATGAATTTTTTGGTACATACTGGACTTCAGGGCAGCAACAGTAAAGAAAGAAATAGCGTAAAGTCCAAATCAATAAATGAGGATGAAAATCAGATCTCAAGCATGGAGATGGCACCATTAGTACCAAAAGGAAATCGTGTACTGAATCAGATCTCAGGCTCTTTCTCTCACTCCCTGGCTCTAATTTGTACCAACTTTCTAATTTATATCACCAATATTTATGTTAATTTTGGTTCATATTTTCTCTTATTTTTGTTTTGTGAATTGCGTGTGATATATTTTTTTTTATTTTGATTTTCTCGTGGCCTTTTGGATCTGTTGGTGTCTAGTTTGAATCTATTTTTGGCTGGGAAGTGTTGACAGAGGGTGTGAGAGAATGTCATAGGCTAATTTTCCAGTGGGAATTTTTGACCTCGTAGGGGTTTTGCATATTTTAACCGAGTGAGCCTAAGCAAAATCCAAAACTCGATGGCTGAGCTTGAACCGAATCTGAACACCATAACACAAACTCGGAGGCTTGATTCAATTTGCAACCCTCTCTATAGTTAAGATATGCTAGTACTAGCGACCCTCAGTAGTAGAGAAGATATGGGGAGACAGACAGGAATACAGGGCTAAAACTAACTATTATATACAATACCAGGAAGTAGGAGCATCGTCTTAAGAGGCGCATGAAACACAGGTAGGCTTATAATTTGACCAGATTTTAATTTGAGTGTGATCTGAATCTGTACTCGTTTATCTAGATATGGAGTAAAATTTAATCTAAAGACCAAGGCTTTCAATTCTCAACCCAACACAATACCGCCCCCTCCCTCGCACCACCTGTTCCCCTTCACCGACAATATATCCCAGTGACTAGCGCAGGGTTGTTCGGCCTCTCACTCCTTGCTAAACCCCCCTCTCTTCCGTTTGCTTTTCACTCTACTCCTGGTGTTTCAATGTTTCTTTATCAGTTCTACTACTCACTATTACTCTATTTTTTGCTTTGTCTATGTTTTTTGACGGCCTTAATTTCTGTCTCTTGCTCCCTCTTCTGCTCCATTCCTCTGCCTTTGTTCTCTTGCTCTCATTTCTACTCTCTGAACCTTCCTCTGTTCATACTGTACAAAATATAGCAGCGCTGGGGTTAGAAAGTGAACGCCATGCTGAGCAGAACTTCGTGGGCAATTAGATCCCTAATATTTCGATTTTTAATCCAACATGCATTTGCTTGAATTGAAGACTACAAACTAGGGCTTGAAGAACACAATTCCATTCAAGTAAATTTGATTTTTAGTTGTTTTGTTCTTGAATTAATTGGATTATTACTAATATTGAGATGAAATTGAATGGGATTTTATCAGAATTGAGTGTTTTTTGGGTTTAATTAGGATGAAAATTAGTGTGTTGGTGAAATTGTTGATTATTTTTTTGAAATTTTGTTCTAAGTTATTTGATTCGGATTAGAATATCGGACTTGGTGTCCGACTCTTAATGGAGACGGATTCGGATCAAGATTTTCATATCCATCGGATATACGGATAAAATTCAAACTAGAATTTTTTAATCGGATTTGGACCGACTAAGATCTGATCTGAATGTTACCCGTTGACAGGCCTAAATACAGGTGCAACCATCACCGCACAAGCACTGCCTATGCTGCATGTTGGGATCATCTTTACTCCCCGCTCGTCCCGCTATCTCGAATAAACTAGTTGCTGGCCCAGACATCAGTGGACCAGAGCTAGAGTGGGGGGAATCCACTTAGTTATTCATATCACATCAGACCAGACCAAACCTTTTTCGTTAGGTTTCTTTGGACTCGGCAATCAGTTTTAGATAGGCATAGGAAAACTATGGACCTGATTGGTTTGTGTTTATAAGACAATTTTTTGTTCTCAAATTTCTAAAAATAAGGGAGATGCTGCTTCGATAGAGTTTTTGTTTTTTAATTTTTTGAAAATTTTAATAATTGAAATATGATTTTAGAGAATAATAAAATGATATTTTTTGAATTTGCAAGCTAAAATAGAAAACAAGGAAAACAATATCTCTTCTTTAACGAGGTCCATCTATTAAACTTCTTTAGTAGCAAAATATATTTTTTTTTCGTTGAAATATAAAAGTCATTCACTTGATGTTTTCTCCATCTCTCTCTCTCTCTCTCTGCAACGAAACAACGGCGTGCTTAGATGCCTTTCACTTAATGGGAAACAACAGTGTCTTCTTCGTTTTCTATCTGTGCGCTTAGATCGTTTTTTTCGTTCTCTGTCTACATAGATCTGAAGCACAGATCTATGGATCTGTGTCTGTGTGTGTACGCATGTGTGTAGGGATATTAGTAGACCGAAGTAGGGGCGGGGGTATAGTTTTCATGTCCATATTTGTTTAAAAAAACTCTGTTCATCATTGGTCCACCCTCGTTAACGGGTGTAATTTTCATTTTCATCAACGTCTGCGGGTAAATTTCTAATCCCCGCTTCTCTGTATCCGCCCAAGCCCAGACCCAAGTTCAAGTCAACATAATTTAAAATTCTTAAATAAATCCAACAACATTCTAAATAATTTAACACAACATAATATAACATAACATAACATATTCCAATATAACACAAACAATAAATGTCCAAAAATACTACTTGAATATTTGTAATGGAACAATTTTTATGTCATGTAGCTTCACACTTGTAATTTAATAAAGAAAATAAAATATAAAAAATTATAATAATTGCATAAAAAATATTTTATATCTACCAATTTTCCACATCACAAAAATATTTTTTTTTTCTTTTTCTGAAATCCACACTGAATTTCTGAAGTGCCCAGAAATCAATAGGCAAAGAATTTTCTTTTAACTGGCACATCTGAACTATAATCATCAGCTAAAACAGAATGAAACTTACGAAATTGAACTGTATCTAAGTCCATGTGGCCCCAATGAAAATATTCATGCTATGAGAATATCAGAATGTGTATAATATCTAGTTCAAGCACTTTTTCTAGTTGTACCCAAGTGATTAAATGTTCACAAGATCAGAATGCAGCAATAGAACTTAGATCAAAAGCATATATATATATATATATATAGGGCGGGGAGGGGCAGAGTCTCCGTCTTCATCTCCGTACGAATTTATACAGATATTTTCGTATATTTCTACCATCCATTACGTATAGTCCATCCCAATCCAAACATGATAGATTTAGACGAATACTCAGTTTTGCATTGTCATCCCTCCGTGTGTGTGTGTATTTTTTTTTTTTTTGTGTGCGTGTGTCTTTGTGGGTTTTGTGAAGATAGAGAGAGGAGAAATAAAGATCGAGATGAGAATTGTAGATTATTGTTCAAATAGATTTTATAATTTTTTGTTCTTTAAAATTATTTTCAAAAATATATAACTAAATAGGTTTTATAATCTAAAAATTTAAAAAAATTTCTAAAAAATTATTTTTAAACACTATTTTTTGAAATACAAATTCAACGGGCCTTTAATTTATAATGACAACTTTACTTGAAGTCGTGATAATGTAGCAAGACTTAGATAACAATATTATCACACACTCTCTGGAATTGACATCTTAACAATTAGGCTATTGTGAAAACTCCTCCTCAATTTTGTTCCTGTTCGTGATAGTTGGACATAATGCGGCGGTGGTAGTAGCAGTACAAGCATCATGACGACGATGATCCTTAATATGTGGGTGATAGTGGTAGTAGTACTGTTGTGGGTCTGACTAACTAACAGCTGTTGATCACCGATGTTCAATTAAGTGCGGTGGGCCCAGCAGCATATTTTGACTGATGTATTGATTAGCAATCACAACCTGTGTGTACCATTTGACCTATACTACTTGATATGGGAGTTGATATGACTTTGATAATAAAAATTTAATAAAACATTTGACTGTTATGTAATTTTAATTTTTACAAATTTAATAAAACTAATAAGTCTCATTAATTTAATGTTACACATTGAAAAACAAGTAATGCACAAAAGTGGTGTATTAGATTCTCCTGGCTGTCTGTGTTCCATTAAAATAAAATAGAATAGTTCAGAGCCACCCCCTTGCCAACCAAATACTTCAAGCAAATGTTAAAAAAGACGCACAACAATAACTATATATATCTCATCATTCTTACATGCTGATATTTATGGTTTTGGTGAATCGAGATTCTTAGTTGTTGCAAAAATTTCATTGCTGGAACGATTTATTAATTTGCTACTAATCGAAAAAGTAAAAATTGAATTTGTGTACAATACATGCATGCTTGTTTTTGGGGTTGGGATGGAGATGGAGAGGTGGGTGCAATGGCCTAATGGGTTTGTTTAGTCCGAAGCATTTGGTCCAGCACAAGCCTTCAACACAGGACTCCATATCCACTGTACTAAAAACTTCCTACCCCTTCTACCATTCAGATTGTAAGTCCTTCCTACTCCGTCACTCATCACCAGCCCAATGTAACCACCCCCACCCCCACTACCGTACAAACCCTCACACAAATCCCCTATCTCCGTCGGTGCCGAAGGGTCCTCACCCGCATACCACGCATTCACTAACGGGTTCGACGCCACCTCAGCAAGCTCATGACCGATCACGCTGATCATCCCATCAACACCCACGTCAGCATTCGGCGGCGTCAGCGCTCCGGGTCCACCACCACCCATGTAACCCGGCACTGCAAACGGGTAAGCACACACCTCGGGGCACTGTTTACCCGAATTTCCAACCCATGCGTAGGGGAGGGTGTACCCGACCTTGGATGGGAAGGTAAAGTAGTGGAACCCACAGACCGCTCGGCAGAAGTCCTGTACTGTAACGTCCACCGAGGTTAATATGAGGTAGATCCCGTTTCCGTGATCAACGGGAAAGGGTTTGGATTGGACGGCGGTGGCGATGACATCTTGAATTGTGAGGCGGGTGAGGTGGGTACCGTGGGAATAACGGCGATCCGAGTATTCGCCGGCAATGAGGATGGAGCGAGAGATGTTAGCGCCAGTCTGGTCCGTGTAAAGAGACACGGTGCGCCACCACTCGGCGACGGAGGGTGAAGGGGCGGCGCGGTGGTTGGCGGTGGAGATGGATAGTAGGAAGTCCTTGATGAGGAGTTGCTGTGATAGGGTCCACTTGCCGTACCATATGAGGTAGATGTTGATCGGTGAGGAGAGGACTGGACCCATGTGGTAGCGAAGGTCTACGAGGTCCGATGAGCCCTCAAATTTCTTGGAGGAGGAGAGAGTTCTGGGTGGGAGCTTGGGATTGAAGTACTGCGGTTTAATGTTAAGGGTTTGAACTGCTGGTGAAGCAGTACCATACTGCGTGAAGAAGAAGAATGAAAGTAAGAGGATTAGGGACATTTTGAGTGGAGAAGCACGGAGGAGATGATAGATGATAGTGGAAGTGGACGGACAAGAGAGGCAGTAGTAAACAAGTAACGGTGACTAAAGAGTGAAATGTTGGGGGGTTTATAAAGAGTTATTAGGGGAAGATAGCGTTTGGGAGGGAAATGGGCTGGTGACAGCTGCCATCATGTGGGCTCTCTCTCTCCTTCGTTACTACTGTGTTTTTCTCTGTTTATTTGTGGAAAACTGGGAATGGCCTTTACGAGTGCACAGGTAAATATGAATATGACATGACGAAGGACCCCATTCATTCTTCTCTAAAAGATTGAGATTGACCCACCCCTGTGTTCTTACCTGCTATAACTATTCCTTACCTTTTTACTACCGCATGCCACTTACTTTTCTTTGGATTTAATTAGCACTTTTTATTTTCATGTTTTGCTCTCCTGCAGTTGTCTGAAATGGCCGCACAAAATCGAGTTTTTGACCCATCCTAAGACTTTTTAAAGAAAAAATTTCAATTAAGTGTTAGTTTGAAAATAATTTTCAAATCTATGGAGATTTAAAAACGTCATTTAGTCTGATGTTTTTAAACTAAAAAACGTCAGTTGATCTAATATTTTTAACTTAAAAAAGTCAAATTAAATGACTTTTTTAAGTTTGGTCTGTGATTTAAAAATGTCAATCTATTTGATATCTTTAATTAGAAACCTCAGTTGTTCTGAGTATTTAAAACTCAATCCTGCACTCTCTTCTTTCCTTTCCCTTATTTTCTCTTCTTCCCCCCGACTGCTTTTGAGCCCTAACTCACTCAGGCGCATCCTCAATCAGCAGCACCCTCATAACACCCAGCCCTCAATCAATAGCTAACTTTCGCAGAACCACCACCATCACAGCACCACCCAGGTCCACCCACCACCACGTAGGACCACCCAGCTCCACTCACCACCACCCAGCCCCACCCACGACCACCTTGTTTGTTTATGGTTTTTGACTGCTGATCATGGTAACTCGTAATGAAAACGAAATAGAAGTAGAGATGATGCAAGGAGTATGAATAGGTACTCTTGTTCGAAATCTTCCTTTATGACCGGATGCTTCGGGAACGAAAGTTGTTGGGAGAAAATGTGAGAATTTGCATAAGTTCTAACAGGGAGAGAAGGGTGATTACCATCATTCCATTTCTCCATCAGATATTTGTTACAAAAAGTAAAATTTGAGCTTTTCTGACTTTTCTAGCTTCATAGCTAATCCACAGCTAATTCCTCCTCTCCAGATGCTTGACAGAGGGGATCACTATATTTTGACTGAAACCAAATGATACCAAAACAATTGACAAAAGAGGAAACAAGTCTCTTAGACAGTTAGACATTATAGTACTTAACAATCAACTCAATATAAGAATCCGAAACTATAAAACTACGCAATATTGAAATACATAACTCTTTGAAACTTTTCTGAACTGTAATCTTGAGCAACGTTTTGACATCATTGTTGAAATACATTTTTCCAGTCGGTCATCTACTCTATGTGCTACATATCAGGAAAGGCAAGTGATCATGTAATATATATATTCAAGAAAAAATGAATTTGAGAACAAATCCAAAGGAAGCTAAATTGTATCATTTACAAGTGCTGGTTGAAATAACAATCATCGTTGTTGAGTAGAACGGTAAGGTTTAAGTTCGACCAAACTTTAGAACATCTAGAAGTCATCAGTGAGGACTAAGCCTTGCAGATTAGACCACTGCTACAAAAATAAGCTTAACCCTTTCTAAAAAACTCGACATAAAACCATCCATATAACTCTCTCTAGAAAATTCAAATCGCACTCTATTTTCTATTTGGAATATCATCGAACATGTTTCAAGTATCACTGCAAAATTGTAATCTTTTCTTTTTCATTGTTTTAAGATTTACAAAATTGAATGAGTTCCAAAACAAGTGTACAATTTGCAATTCAATCCTTCTAAGAGGCAGTAACTCAATGTCTTCCAACATAACAAAACCAGCTTCACCGTGGGCAGCATGTCAAATGTCCAAAACAGAGCAACTTTTACATAGACAATTCATCGAACACTTGGGGAACAAAGTTCAATCTAAGTTTCCCTTTCTTACACAGGACCTGAACTCATTGGTCTGCCATCCCCAAATGAACTGAACATACCATCCTCAAACATTCCACCGGAAAACCTTGAATTTCCCCTCATGCCACTACCCCCTCCCATTCCTCCAAAAGGCATTCCTCCAAATGGGCTTGAAGACCCAAAAAATTCAGCAAAAATATCATTGGCGTTTCTAGGACTGAATGTAAACACATTTGGTTCATCTCCTGTTGAGAAAAATGTTGTCCCACCAGGTCCTCCAGCATCTGGTGGTGGCACTTGCCCTTTTAGTCCTTCTTCACCATACTGATCATAGATTGCTCTCTTTTGTGGATCACTTAGAACCTAATAAATCAAATTTTAAAAAAAATAAAAATCAACATCAACTACCATTACACTCATAATCCTAAAACCTCATACACACACTCATACATACACAAACTTTGGTTGTTATATAATCTATTAAATATTCAATAATCAATAATCAACTCAATGATCTATAATCTACTCAATACCCAATTCAATAATCAACTCAATAACCAATAATTTATAATCTGCTCAATACTCAATTCAATAATCAACTCAATAATCAATAATCAATAATCTACTCAATACCCAATTCAATAATCAACTCAATAATCAATAATCTACTCAATACCCAATTCAATAATCAATAATCAACTCAATACCCAACTCAATATCTCAATCAATAATCAACTCAATTCAATAATAATATTTTCATAGAATTTCAATATTTCAATTATTTCATATAATTTCATTATTTTTCATTAAATAATTTAAGAATTCTCACCGGATGTGGTGGAGGCTGTCAATGGTGCAATAGAGGCTGATGGTGGTGCTTGGATTTGGGGCTTCGATGGTTGGGTGGTCGTGGGTTGGCGTGGCTGGCGCTGGGTGGTTCTGCATGGTGGTGGGTGGTGCTGTGATGGTGGTTCTTCTAGGGGGCTCAAATGGGGTTAGAAAATGTCTCAAATGCTGATTGAGAATGGGGCTCAAATGCTAATTGAGAATGTCTGTTGCGATGTAGCCTGAGTGAGTTAGGGTTCAAATGGGGGTAAGAAGAGAAAATAAGGGAAAGGAAAGAAGAGAGGAGGGAAAAATGGGATCTAGTTTGAGTTAAAAACGTCAGTTGTACTGAAGTTTTTAATTAAAACGTCAATTGCACCGATGTTTTCTAGCGTCTTGGAATGTCCTATTCAACCTTAAAGACGTCATTTGGACTGACGTTTTTAGCCAAAAAATATCAGATCAACTAATGTCTTTAAGCCTAAAAACGTCAGACCAAATGACGTGTTTAAAAGTCCCTGGGTATGGGAATTATTTTCAAACCACCCCTTGGGAATTTTTTTTAAAAAAGCCTTGAGATGGGTCAAAAGCTCCACAAAATCCCACAATGGAATGATGGAAGCCATTCATTCATCCGGGCAAGATGCTGGCTTGCCCTTTATTATTAGAGGTCTACCGGAACTCGTGTTTTTATTCGACCAACCTGATGCAGCAAAAAACTATTCTAAATAGAAAGGCTTAGGAGAATATTATTCATTACTAATTTGATTTATTTATAATTGTTGGATTAAAAATTGACTCTATTTAAGATTAAAATCATAACCGAGTCCAATGACTCCAAATTCAATGGTACAAAAAAAAAAAAAAAAAGACTAATGAATCCCTTTTTCCTCCAGAGAAGATGAAAAAGGCTTTCCCAGTCCCAGCAATCAATTCATAGAAAAATAAAAATGTCCCAATTAGAAAACAATAATATTACAATTTTCGTGTAGGTCATAAACAATCATACCTTTACAGAGAATATCTCTATCAGAGAATACCATGTCCCTGAATTCCCAAGAAACAAACCTCAGAGAATTAAGCCCACATCAGGAAGCACTCCTTTCCAGACCATCTCTTCCTTGAAGACTTTACAATGAAACAAAGCAGGCAAAACAAAGCCCAACACACAGCAAGTGCTGCTCCCCACTAATGACAAGAAATCAGCAAAATTTGGGACCAACAGAGCCACCAAAACCAGCAACCATCTCATCCACAAGCAGTAACTTCCTTCCCAAAATCTCCCTTCAAACACCACATAAACTGGATTCATCATCAATGGGAATGTGAAAAACAGATCGATGCAAAGGCCCAGTTGAACTAAAGTGCTCAATAATCCTTGTCCCAAGTTGCTCGTGATTATATCCTTTGTGTTCGCACCAAAAGCAAAGTAACCAAAAACTCCGAATGATCCGTACATCAAAGCAATGAACAACCTGGTCAAGCCCAATATTTTCCCAAACTTGCTCTTATCTTTCATCTCCGATTCCAAAGGCAAAACCATTCCAATTCCCTCAAATGAGTAGACAGCCACACCCAATCCATAGAAGAACATGGATAGACTCCCAAAAGCCTCAGCAACCGGTCTATGCTTGGTGAAAATCAACACATCCTCAACCAATACCACGCCCATTGCACCAATGTCAACGATATCAGCAAAAATACTCAGAGGAGCCGAAAGTGTCAGTGAAGGGATCGAATTTAACCCCATTTGGAAGGGAAAACAACTCCAGATGTAAAAACTTTTGGCCGAAATTCCCCAAATCTTAGGGTGGACTAAATTGAAATTGAGATAGGCGGTTGAAGATGCATTGAATAGATTGGCCAATGTGTTGCCAATGAATATGAGATAGCCCATGCAGAAGTCGGCTTGAGGAGGACGACCATGGCGTCGACGGCGAATCGACCAACGGGCCCACAGACGGCGAAGCCAAGGTCGCCGAAAGAGGCGATGTTGTCGGAACCGAAGGGGGATTCAAGTTTTCTTCGGGTGTGGATGAGAAGCATCATGCAGTGGTAGGTCAGCGCAGCGACAACGAAGATCATTATGAGGCTGGTGAGCCACCCCAATACGCCGCACCGAGAATGGAGATGAAGACATTAGCGAAAGTCTTGGATTGAGAGGAGAGAGGCTTTGATTTGCCCATGAGAGGTGTGTCTTCTCTTGGGAGAGGGCGGAGGAGGCCATTGGAGTACGAATTCGCTTCTTTGTCGAACCCCATTATAATGATCTCTCAACGTAATTTGGGAAGAGGCTTAGGCTACGTATATAAATAAATAATTGACGATAAGCTATGTATAATTAAGGAGAGAGAGAGTATCTGAAATTAGTGTTGATGCTTCGAGATCATGAAATGGGAGTATGATATGCTGAGAGAGGAACTAGCCGAGAGAGATGCGACAGATTCTGTTCGGATTATTTGAGAGAGAGAGAGAGATGGATGGTGAGTTCTATCTATCATTAGCAAAGGATAAGAGATCAGTTTTGAATACGCCATGGTTGTTGAGTTCAGGCAGGACACGTACGGAATTGGAGTTGGGGGTGATAAATAAAAAAATTCTAAATTCCATCTACAACTCTATCTGTAATGGAGCGCGGATGGATTGAGTGTTTTTCTTTCTCCTGCTATTTGGGGTGGTTTCTTTTTGTTGAGAAATGATGAGATAGTCTACCTCGTGCTTTTACCTTAACCCATGCTTTACTTAAACGAGAGCCATTTTTAAACTACTAATAATGTATCACTTGCGTTGTACGAAAATAATTTTTGTATATAAAATATTAAAAAAATATATTATGTATATGTTATTTATCCGATTTCAGAATGGTGTTTGAGAGAGAGAGGAAAAGGAGAGAGAAAAGATAAAAGACTTTCAAATTGGATGGTGAGAGAGAGAAGTTAAAAAAAAATTTAATTGATTTGTATGACAGTCGGAGGACTTTGTCCCATATTTTAGGAAAGAGAATTTGTTCAAAAACAAGGTTAAACAAAAAAAAATTAAAAGACATAAATGATGTCGTTGTCTACTTAGTTTCCAACAAACAATTATTTAGTTGAAAATAGGAAAAAGTGGGAAAGTATGTTATTATCTTATAAATCATAGTAAATACATAATGGAAGAGTCATAACCTTTTGTCTACCTAATTTTCTTAATAATAATTAATATTAATGTACATATTATACTATTTTTTTTATCTAATTTGTGCATATAATTGTGATTTATAGTTATCTTATTCTACAGTTCTTTATTGAAATTTATGATTTTTTGTCCCTAAAACATTCAATTATTGTTTAAATGATCATTAACCAAACGATCCATTAAGTTTTTAATAGAAGTGACCATATGTCATTCTATCAAACATTATCACATAATCAACACATGATCACTTTTGTCAAAAATTTAACAGATTGTCTGTGTATAGATCATTTAAACATTAACTAAACATTTTAGGGACCAAATTGATACAATGAAGACCAAACTATCAAAATATGTATATTTCAAGGACTAAATGTACTATTAACTCTAAATTATAATATATTACTCTATAATATATATTTTAAAAAAAATATTAAAATTCTAAAATTCAAGTTTTACTTGAAAATATACTTTAATTTTTTTTTATATAAACTCTTAATAAAACATGAAAAGGTTACAATGATTGAAGAATTATGTTAATTTAACATAAATTATTTTTAAAAAATTGCATAAAAGATTATTTTTTATCTTAAAAATAAAATGGTTAGAGTTTTGGATAAAAAAAAATACATATATGTAAGTATAATATTATCTTTTTATTTAAAATGAATAATATTATATTGATGAAGTTTTTGAAGATTTTTTGAACGTTTTATTGAAAATTAGAGTGATACACATATTTTTTTAAAGATAACGGAGCCAATAAAAAAGTTTCATAGATATTGATATTTATTCATAATAAATAAATAATTAAAAGAGATGTTAGGAATAATTTTTATATTTAAATACTTAAATATATGATGGTAATTTAGATATTCAACTATGAAAAGATAGTGTTGTATTTAAAATTCTTTATAAGAGTAAAATAATGAATCAAAATTTTTTTATGCTAAAACAAAAGTTTCATTTTTTATTAGTGGTATACATGAAAAAAAATACATACATATAGGCATAATGTTGTCTTTTATATATGAAAATGGTAATGAAATATTGAATAAGTTTTTTAATACTTTATTGAAAATTATAAGGATGCATATATATTTTTTTAAGGGTAACGTAATCAATTAACATTTTTCATAGATATTGATATTTATACAAAGATAATAGAGAATTAAAAGAGATGTTAGAGGGTAATTTGAAAATTAAAATACATAAGGATGTAATTGTAATTTGACTATGGAAAGATAGTATGGTATTCAAAATTTTTTATGAGGGTAAAATAATGAATTAAAAATTTTTCACTTAAGATACTTTTATTAGTAGTATAGATTTTCTAAATTTAGACACTTTTAAAAACGTTAATTTGAATAACGTTTTTATACCAAAAAGATATAATTTGAATTAATATTTTTTAAAAACATCACTTCAACCAAAGTTTTAGGAAAACTTTTATTTTTAAAAAAAATCACATAAACGTTAATCAGACCATCGTCTTTTTAAAAAAGTTGTCTCTTAACTTCTTAAAAACGTTTTCATACTTGCTTTTTATATAATTAGGAAAAATTACACTTTGACCTTTTGAAATTTATCACTCAATCACTCAGACTCCTTAATATTTGAAATATTACACATAGACTTTAAAAGGTATGTATGCACGTAATACTTAGACCCTTACTGTAAATATACTTGTTAATAAATTATATCTAGACTCCCTAAAGTTTGTACGCATATAATATTTAGATCTCTTAAGTTTAAAATGTTATATTTAGACCATAAATACTCTAATCAAAGATAGAATGTCAAATATTTTAAATTTTACAAACAAAATTAATGATTTATTGTATCATTTATTAAAATAAAATCAAAAATAAACTATTTTCCCTTAGCATCAAAACCGATATTTACAAACATAGTATTACAACAAACTAGGGCACCATATTCTTTAAATTCTAGATAAAACAACAAAAAACTACATACAATTATGTTACATATTATTTTGTACATTCAAACAACAACACTTCTACATCAAACTAAACTACCTAGTGGACCACCTTCAACATCCCATGAGTCCTAAAAACAAAGAACTGTGGAGAGATGAACAAAATCACACGCTTAGTGAGTTTAAAGCACAATTTTCACATAATTCCTAAATTCAAATTCAAACTCAAACATCATCATACAATACAACATCCTTCCACACATTATTTTTTTTGAATTTTCACATCCTCCTCCACTTTCTTCCATTGTATTTCTAGTTCTCTCGACCCAACAAAGTGTTATAGTTGATTACCATCACATGAAATTGTGAAGTACAATAAAAAAATGGGGGTCAAAGTGTAATTATAGGAATCAATGGGGGAAAGAATGACAAAATAATAATTCTAATCAAACTTTAAATAATATAACTTAATGGCAATTTAATATCCATCCACTTTAAATAACAAAAATCAATTGCACAATACGTCTCATAAATATAAGATTTTCAAACATACTTAAATTAATATTTTATAGGGTCTAAATGTAAATATTCTATTATACATACAACTAAGGATTTTCAGAATTTGGAGGGGTTCAAATTTTTTTATTTTTTTTTTTTGGGGGGGGTGGGGTCCAAAATTTTGGGAAAGGGATTTTCAGAAACTGGAGGGAGGTTTTCAGAATTTGGGGAGGGGGTTTTCAAAATTTGGAAGCAATTATTCCATTTTTTCATCTTCGCTACAACAACGAGAAACATTTTCCATGTCTATAGCTTCTTAATGAAACACTCTGTTTGAAAGTTCAAATCTTTCAAATTTTTAACAGTTTCAGAGGATTAAAAAAGGGTCAAAATTCTGATTTTTTTTTTTTGGGGGGGGGGGGGGGGGGGGAGGTTTCAAATGCTCTTACCAGATTTTGTTCGGATGGTGGTGGTGGTGCTGGGTATGGGGTTTCAGATGGTGGTGGTACTGTTGGCTGTGGTGTTCCAAATATAGTAGAATCTCTTATTGAAGTTTCCGATTTGAAATATGAAAAACAGTAACAACAAGTAAGAAACACGAAAGAGTTACAGCAAATAGTTACACATAAATTATTTGTTTAAACAAAATAGAAACTAATTCGATTGCAGAACAGGAACTATTATTAATTTTAGGTAGATCAAGGCTAGTGTTTGACACTATGTCCTTAAGACAGATTTCGCCCCCACACACGCTGCTTATGGAATACCGAGCGTCTGCCTCCCAGGAAACAATGATCTTTACACGAACAGAAATAACACTTCAATCTACTTGTCCAGCGAACCAATATTGTGTTGTGTACTTTTGTAAATGCTTTGTCTTAATGCCAAAATGCAGACTGTTTAATGCCTTAATGAACTTATCAATTGAATCTATAAAATGAATGCATGAACTGGGTATTTATAGATAGTCTGATAACTGTTCGGATAGCCACCATACTAAAGGACACAACCCGGAAACAAAAAACCAACCAGCCAGTGGACACCTTTAATAACTGTTCTTCATGAACAGTTATAATTCAATTTCGGACAGAATTCGAACCGATCCAGTGGGTACCGAATTAATTTTAGTTCAGAAATTCTCGCCTATTAATTAAATAAATTTTATCCAAAAAGATAGGGTTTGGTCAACCCATACTCGTACCCGAGCCCGGCCGGGCGGCGCGCGCGTGTGGTTGAACTGAGGGCATGTAGGTGCTTACTCCGCTCATAAAATTGTGGTACCCCTTGGGGCCCAATCCCATAGAGCAAACTTGGCTTATATATGCTCATGTTGAGTTTCTTCCTCAACCAATGTGGGATTGGAATCACATCCCACATTACACTTCCTTTATTTTCATGTTTCAAGATGGTCATTTTGGAGCCTATTTTCTTATTCATTTCTTACTTGATTTGAGCAAGTGAATATATTACATTATTCTCCTCACGGAGTAGAATATGAACCTATGAAATTTTTTTTAAAATAACAATCAGGTCCTACTTTTATTTAAGCTCAACGTAGACCAAAAACTTAGTTTTTATACTCAAAAAACTGTTTTGGTCCAACAGTGTTGTGGCTGGGGATTTCGGATGGTGGTGTTGCTGGTGGTTTCGGATGGTGGTGGTGCTGGGGTTGGGGGTTTCGGATGGTGTGGTTTCCGATGGTGGTAGTGGGGCTGTGGGCTAGTAATGGTGATGTTGCTCGTGGTTTTGTATGGAATAGGGGTCTGTGATTTTGAATGAGAAAGAGAATTTTGGGAAAATGACTGAATGAAAGCAGAAGGGAAAGAAAAGAGAAAGGCTCATATAGCAACAATTAAAACGTTAGTTTAACCGACGTTTTATCTGAATTTTTTAAAAAATAAAATATTTTTTAAGACGTTTGTTCGAACAATATTTTTACACAAAAATGTCAATTTAACTGACGTCTTTTACTCTAAAAAAGTAAGTTAGAATGACGTATTTAAAAAGACATGGGTTTGGGAAATAGTTTGAAATCAACTCCCTTTTGGGTATAAGTTTGTAAAAATGCTTTGGTTAGGTTAAAAAGCTCATACAGGGAGAGATTGCAATAAAATTAAACATC